GTTTTGATCCCTTGGATCCGCAGAGCTCGTCTCCAGCTCAGTGAGCGTTTCCGCTCGGACTTTCCTGTCCTGCGCTTGCACTCTGACAGAGGTGGTGAGTTCTCCTCCGACCTCTTGGCAGCCTACTGTGCTGAGCACGGCATTGAGCAGTCGTTCACGCTTCCGGCCTCTCCACAGCAGAATGGGGTTGCGGAGCGCCGCATTGGCCTGGTCATGGAGGTCGCTCGTACCTCCTTGATCCATGCGGCTGCCCCCCATTTTCTGTGGCCGTTTGCGGTCCGGTACGCTGCGCATCAGCTCAACCTCTGGCCCCGTGTCTCCTTGCCGGAGACCTCGCCCACACTGCTGTGGACGGGGGAGGTTGGCGATGCGTCGCGTTTCCGGGTCTGGGGATCTCGAGCTTTTGTCCGCGATTCGTCTGCGGACAAGCTCTCCTCTCGTGCTGTTCCCTGCGTCTTCCTCGGCTTTGTTCCGGACGCGCCTGGTTGGCAGTTTTACCACGCCACCTCGCGCTGGGTCTTGCCCTCTCAGGACGTCACTTTTGACGAGTCTGTTCCCTACTACCGCCTCTTCCCCTACCGCACTGCCCCGCTCCCACCCCCGCCTCTCTTCCTCGCGCCAGGTGCTGCTGTCGTAGACCCCCTCCCCCCTCAGGGTGCCGCTCCCTCAGGTGTGTCTCAGGTAGACCCGGTCGAGCCTGTTGAGGTTGCTGTCGACTCTCGTCCTGCTGGGGGTGCTGAGCCTGGGGGTGCGGACGCTGGGGATGCTGAGCCTGGGGGTGCGGACACTGGGGGTGCTGGGCCTGGGGGTGCGGACTCTGGGGGTGCTGAGCCTGGGGGTGCGGACTCTTGGGGTGCTGAGCCTGGGGGTGCGGACACTGGGGGTGCTGAGCCTGGCGGTGCTGCGCCAGGGGGTCCTACGCCTGGACGAGACCTCTCCTCGGAGCAGTTGCGTGAGTGGTACTTACAGTACTGCAGCCTCCGGAGAGGTACCTCTGGGACCAGGCGCGCTACGGAGACTGGTGCTGGCACTTCTCCTTCTAGTCGGGAGCTCCCCTCTCGTGAGCAGATCCGTGAGTGGTACGAGCGCCGTTGCACACTTCGTAGTGGCGTGCCTCGTCTCACGGACCCTGCTGCTGCTGGTGCTGCAGACCCGGGCGTTGGAGCTGATGCTGGTGCTGCGGACCCGGGCGTTGGAGCTACTGCTGGTGCTGCGGACCCGGGCGTTGGAGCTGCTGCTAGTGCTGAGGACCCGGGCGTTGGAGCTGCTGCTGGTACTGCGGACCCGGGCGTTGGAGCTGCTGCTGGTGCTGCGGACCCGGGTGTTGGAGCTGCTGCTGGTGCTGAGGACCCGGGCGTTGGAGCTGCTGCTGGTGCTGAGGACCCGGGCGGTGGAGCTGCTGCTGGTACTGCGGACCAGGGCGTTAGAGCTGCTGCTGGTGCTGAGGACCCGGGCGTTGGAGCTGTGACTGGTGCTGAGGACCCTGGTGTTGGAGTCCCTGCTGGTGCTGCGGACTCGGGAGTTGGTACTGCCGCTGGGGGCACTGGTGCTGTCCCTGCTGTGTCTGGAGTCGCCGCGCGCCCTCAGCCGTACTTCGTTCCGCTCCTTCAGCAGGTTCTTGGTCTCACGCCTCCTCCTGGTCCTCCCCCTCCTTTAGTGTGTCCGCAGCCTGTTCAGTCACTGCCTGCTCCTTCTTCTTACTCTGGTCCTACTACCGGTCTTACTGAGCGTCGTGAGCCTGCGTCTCGCCCTACGTCGCCTGTCCGTCCTGCTAGCACTAGTGCTCGTAGTTCGCGTCCACGTCCTCCTCCTGCCCTTGGCACGCACCGGATGTCTCTGCGTCCTTCCACTGCTCCTCTGCGTGCCCCTTTGCCTTCTCCTCCTGCTTCCTCTCTTCCTGCTCTTGTCGACCCGGAGTCGGACTCTCTTCGTGCTGCCAGTCCTACTGTCACGCGTCTCCTTGCTACTGCCGTCACTGACCCTTCCTTCGAGTCTTCTGCTGCGTCTGCCCTAGTTACTGAGCTCGTCGACTTTGCTGCTCGCTGTCGTCTAGACTACGCTGCTAGTCTTGTCGCTGAGTCTGAGTCTGTCTGTCCTCCGTCCGTCGGGGGTGCGTGTGCCCTTGGCACGGACGTCCTTGAGGACAGGCAGGAGGAGTTTCACTGCTTGGCTGCCGCCTCACCTCATCTCGCGTTTGTACTGCTAGCCCCTGAGGGAGACCCGGATGCACTAGACATCCCGACCCCGCGCTCTTACGCGGAGGCGATAGAGGGTCCCTACTCCTCTCAGTGGCAGGTAGCTATGGATGCAGAGATGGCTTCCTGGAAGTCCACAGGCACCTACGTTGACGCTGTCCCCCCTCCTGGGGCAAACATCGTCAGTGGCATGTGGATCTTCAGGGTGAAGAGGCCGCCGGGTTCTCCGCCTGTCTTCAAGGCGCGTTACGTGGCTCGTGGCTTCAGTCAGCGGCAGGGAGTTGACTACTTTCAGACCTTCTCCCCCACCCTGAAGATGACCACTCTTCGGGTACTCCTGCACGTTGCTGCTCACCGGGACTACGAGCTTCACTCTCTCGACTTCAGCACAGCTTTCTTGCAGGGCAGCCTGCACGAGGAGATCTGGCTGCGTTGCCCACCTGGCTTCACTGGGTCTTTCCCTCCTGGTACCCAGTGGAGTCTCCGGCGTCCAGTCTACGGTCTCCGCCAAGCGCCACGTGAGTGGCACGACACACTGAGGACTACGCTGGCGGCACTTGGGTTTGCTCCTTCTACTGCCGACCCGTCGCTGTTTCTGCGCACCGACACTTCTCTGCCGCCGTTCTACATCCTCGTGTACGTCGACGACTTGGTCTTTGCCACTGCTGACACTGCTGGACTCGCCTACGTGAAGTCCGAGCTGCAGAAGAGACACACGTGCACTGACCTGGGTGAACTGCGCAGCTACCTTGGCTTGCAGATCACCCGGGACAGAGCACGCCGCACCATTACCCTGACTCAGTCACACATGGTGCAGCAGGTCCTTCAGCGCTTCGGCTTCACGTACTCCTCGCCTCAGGCCACTCCTCTGTCTACTCGCCACTCGCTCTCAGCTCTGCCTTCGGATGAGTCCGTAGAGTCGAGTGGCCCGTACCCAGAGCTTGTTGGCTGTCTCATGTACCTTATGACCTGCACGCGACCTGACCTTGCATACCCTCTTAGCATTCTTGCGCGCTATGTTGCTCCTGGGAGACACCGACCAGAGCACATGGCTGCAGCGAAGAGGGTGTTGCGCTACTTGTGCAGTACGTCGGGCATGGGACTAGTGCTTGGAGGGCGGAGTCCAGTGGTCCTCACTGGTCACGCGGACGCTTCTTGGGCTGACGACCAGGCTACGCAGCGGTCGTCACAGGGTTACACCTTCAGCCTTGGTTCCGGCTCTGTTTCGTGGTGGGCTACTCGCTTGTCTTCTGATCTCGGCTCCAGTTGTGAGGCTGAGATCAACGCTGGGGCCATGGTTGCTCTGGAGCTTCGCTGGCTCACCTACCTGCTGACCGACCTTGGAGAGCCGCCTCGTTCTCCTCCAGTCCTGTACGTTGACAACAGGGCCATGCTGGCTTTGTGTCGAGAGCAGAGACTAGAGCACAGAACAAAGCACATTGCTCTCCGCTACTTCCTTGCTCGTGAGCTACAGCAGCGTGGTCAGTTGCGACTTGCGTACGTGGCCTCTGAGGCCAACACTGCTGATGTTTTCACCAAGGCACTTGCGCCTTGTGATCATCAGCGCTGCTGTACCCAGCTGGGTCTTGTGTCTGTCTTGCCTCACTTGCTCTCCTCTTGACCCTCTTTGTACTGTTACATATATATATCACTGCTCTTGCTTGTTTAGTCTTATATATATATGTACTCCTGCATGTGAATTGGCCTTGTGGCCTTGAACTTGTGCTCGGATTGTGTGGTGACATTGTGATCCACCCTGAGCTTGCTTTGCTTTACTTGACTAGTCTTGTGACCTTTAGTTCTCCCCCACTTTGCCTATGGGGGTGTGTCAAACAATATATATATTGCTGTAGTTGTTTAGGCTACAGTGGGTTAGCCTATAGGGGGTACACACTTCTAGGTTTCCATATTTGTACTCATTTCATTCTTAGTCATTTCATTCCTTGTTCAACACCTACGTCCGGAACCACCATTTCACCCGCAATTACCTGAGAAGTAGCAAGGTGAAGGGAGGAAAGGGGAAGCAGCTTGTGAAGCCGACGGGGACCAGGTTCGGCACCAACTACATCGCCCTCTCAAGGCTCGTCCAGCTGCGGTCCACACTGTCGCAATTGGTGCTGAGCGAGAAGTACGCCAACTGGTCGGCGGGGGCTAGGAAGTGTTGTGTGATGCAATCATATGTATTCACGCCTGTCTGCCTTGTCATAATATATTTGCTGTCTAGCCTGCAGTGGGGTACTCTGTAATGAGTACAACCCAATTTAGGGCAATGTACTTGTATCCCAACTCTTGCTAGTCACTTCACTTCCCTTCCAATTTCTCGACTCTCACCTAACCCACTCGAACTTACCTATCTCCTAGTGTGGGCCTAGGCTACTAAGCCTAGGCCCCACACCTAATATTTTCACATGTTATCAGAGCCCGTTCTACCTTGGCCTGTGGGCCCCTATGCTTCCGTTGCAGTCCTTTTTTTTAGGATTTCGGAGTTTTTCATCCCGCCGTGCGCTCGGGGCGCGCGGCGGTTTTCCCGTCCTTCGAAGCGCCCTCGGGGGGCCTGCGCGCTGCCCTCCCCGCTGCTCGTCGCGACGCCCGTGCGGGACCCGCGCGGCGTCACCCTGCTCGTCGCGACGTCCGTGCGGGACCCGCGGGGCGTCGCCCCTGCTCGTCGCGACGTCCGTGCGGGACCCGCGCGGCGCCGCCCTACTTGTCGCGACGTCCGCGCGGGACCCGCGGGGCGTCGCCCCTGCTCGTCGCGACGTCCGTGCGGGACCCGCGGGGCGTCGCCCCTGCTCGTCGCGACGCCCCATGCGGGACCCGCGGGGCGCCGTCAGTTCCTGAAGCAGCAGCCGCCGCCAGGCCTACAGCAGCAGCCGCCGCCAGGGTCTGCAGCAGCAGCCGCCGCCAGAGCCTGCTGCAGCAGCCGCCGCCAGGGTCTTCAGCAGCAGCCGCCGCCAGGGTCTGCAGCAGCAGCCGCCGCCAGAGCCTGCAGCAGCAGCCGCCGCCAGAGCCTGCAGCAGCAGCCGCCGCCAGAGTCTACAGCAGCAGCCGCCGCCAGAGTCTGCAGCAGCAGCCGCCGCCAGACCTGCAGCAGCTGCCGCCACCGACCCAGCAGCAGCAGCCGCCGCTCTATCAGCAGCAGCAGCCGCCGCCGCTCTGCCGCAGCAGCTACCGCCGCCCAGCTGTAGGTGTCGCCCCTGGACCCCAGAAGCCGCCCCTGGACCCGGTACGCCTTGTGCTGCCCGTGCCTGTGCTTCCCGTGCCTGTGCTGCCCGTGCCTGTGCTGCCCGTGCCTGTGCTGCCCGTGCCTGTGCTGCCCGTGCCTGTTGCTGCCCGTGCCTGTGCTGCCCGTGCCTGTTGCTGCCCGTGCCTGTGCTGCCCGTGCCTGTGCTGCCCGTGCCTGTGCTGCCCGTGCCTGTGCTGCCCGTGCCTGTTGCTGCCCGTGCCTGTGCTGCCCGTGCCTGTGGTGCCCGTGCCTGTGCTGCCCGTGCCTGTTGCTGCCGTGCCTGTGCTGCCCGTGCCTGTGCTGCCCGTGCCTGTGCTGCCCGTGCCTGTGCTGCCTGTGCCTATTGCTGCCCGTGCCTGTTGCTGCCCGTGCCTGTGCTGCCCGTGCCTGTGCTGCCCGTGCCTGTGCTGCCCGTGCCTGTGCTGCCCGTGCCTGTGCTGCCCGTGCCTGTTGCTGCCCGTGCCTGTGCTGCCCGTGCCTGTTGCTGCCCGTGCCTGTGCTGCCCGTGCCTGTGCTGCCCGTGTCTGTGCTGCCCGTGCCTGTGCTGCCCGTGCCTGTTGCTGCCCGTGCCTGTGCTGCCCGTGCCTGTGCTGCCCGTGCCTGTGCTGCCCGTGCCTGTGCTGCCCGTGCCTGTTGCTGCCCGTGCCTGTGCTGCTCGTGCCTGTGCTGCCCGTGCCTGTGCTGCCCGTGCCTGTTGCTGCCCGTGCCTGTGCTGCCCGTGCCTGTGCTGCCCGTGCCTGTGCTGCCCGTGCCTGTGCTGCCTGTGCCTGTTGCTGCCCGTGCCTGTGCTGCCCGTGCCTGTGCTGCCCGTGCCTGTTGCTGCCCGTGCCTGTGCTGCCCGTGCCTGTTGCTGCCCGTGCCTGTGCTGCCCGTGCCTGTGCTGCCCGTGCCTGTGCTGCCCGTGCCCGTGCTGCCCGTGCCTGTTGCTGCCCGTGCCTGTGCTGCCCGTGCCTGTGCTGCCCGTGCCTGTGCTGCCCGTGCCTGTGCTGCCTGTGCCTGTTGCTGCCCGTGCCTGTGCTGCCCGTGCCTGTGCTGCCCGTGCCTGTGCTGCCCGTGCCTGTTGCTGCCCGTGTCTCGTGCTCGCGCCCCCGTGCGCTCTGCTACTGTCTGCGCCCTCGTGCGCACTGTCCCCCCCCCCCCCCCCCCCCCCGTTTGCGGGTGGGGGGGTGCTCCGTTTGTGTCGCCCCTTCCTTCTCCTCCTCCGTCGTCTCCCACTGCTGCAGCTGTCGCTGAGGGGGGTGGTTGTGTGGGAGACTGGGGTTTAGGGTTTAAGGGGGGTGCGTGGGAGTGGAGCTAGGGGTGTAGCAGCGGGTGTGTGTCAGGGGGGTGGGACTGTTTGTGGGAGGTTGAGCGGAGGCTGCCGTCTTGTAGTCCGCAGCACCTGTAGTCCGGGGCGCTGTCCTGGTAGCCCAGTGAGCCTGCTGCGCCTGTCGCCCGTGGGTCCGTTGCTCCTGCCGCTCTTCGTAGCCGCCGAGCCAGTTACTCCAGTAGTCCGGGGCGCTGTCCCGGTAGCCACTGTGCCAGCCGCTCCTGTTGCCCGTGTGTCTGCAGCTTCAGCAGTCGCCTCCCATCTCCTCTCCTCTCACTCTCCCTCCTCCTCCTCACCTGCCCGTTGTGACCACCACTAGCTTTGCTGATAATTGTGCACTTTAACTATTGCTTCTTGAACTTGTGCTCAGAATGTGTGGTGACATTGTGATCCACCCTGAGCTTATACTGCTTTGCCTGCTCTGCTGATTTCACCCCACTTTGGCTATGGGGGTGTGTCAGAATATATTTGCTGTCTAGCCTGCAGTGGGGTACTCTGTAATGAGTACAACCCAATTTAGGGCAATGTACTTGTATCCCAACTCTTGCTAGTCACTTCACTTCCCTTCCAATTTCTCGACTCTCACCTAACCCACTCGAACTTACCTATCTCCTAGTGTGGGCCTAGGCTACTAAGCCTAGGCCCCACACCTAATATTTTCACATGCCTCCCATCATATGTTCGTGCGTTGCATGCGTGATGTGAGCGTGTGCAAGAATTTGTGTTTTCTGTGGTTTGGATATTCTGAGTGTGTGTGAATGTTATTTGGCTTGAGCAGATACCTAAAGTGAATCATCTGCTCAAGAGCTTTCCGTCGAGCCAAGTATTGCTTCAATCGGAGCACGAACAAGAAAGTTACGAATGTTTGGAGTTCGTATGCTTTTGATATTTGGTTGTGATGACTATGGGAAGTTGTGGGGTTGACTCCATAAGGGGTATAGACTTTTGAGGGTTGGGAAATTCGTCCCCATCACTGTAGATGCTGACAAGTGGTTGGGAGAAACCAAATTGGGTTGGCAAGTGTGGCCAACTTGGGTGAGGTGGATTGTGGAGGTTGGGAAATTGACAAAGGTCAAAGTGGGTTCCTATAGGGAAGGGATTTGGTGTGCTTATGGTGTTTCCTTGGTTGGGGACTCCTTGGGGACCTTCCCTCTCGTTCTCCTCTTCCCCTCCCACGTGGTTTCTTGCTACTCTTATCCTCTTGTGAAGTTGTGAGACAATTGTGATTGAGTTAAGATCCTATGGCAGCATACCCCCTAGTGCGCCGAAAATCATAAGTCGAGATATACTTCATCATTTGATACGATTCAAATTGGGAAAGATAGCCACGGTCAAGGGCTACAAAATACTCTCGAGTTTGAAAGAATTCTAATGGTGCGTTATTTGTCGATAACGTTTCTTGTGAACTCGACATTTCTGTCCAAAGTTGTAGACCAACGATTTTGTGATATTTAGGCACCTAATCTTCGTAGACTCCGTCCTTAGTCTCTAAACATGAAGCTGACGGCGGATACGTTCCGCGGCCACGTCATGGACGACGCATGGTGGAAGAACGCTACGTACCTGGTGGAGCTCTTGGCGATTCCATTCAAGGTGATGCGGGCCACCGACAGCAGCGCGAAAGGCATGATGGGAACCATCTACGACGTTATGCTGCAGTTGACCGAGGACGTGAACGACAAGCTGGAAGCGGGGGAGAAGATTCTGCCTCGGGCGGTTGCGGATGACATTGGGAAGATTGTTAGGCGCCGTTGGGACGAGAGCCTTGCTTGCGCCTTTCACGTCGTGGGGCGAATCCTGAACCCGGCAAATCAGGAAGAGGGTATATTCCGCAACGACATGGAATGTACACGCATCTTCAAGGCGTTCATCGCACATCACTACGACGGCAAGACGTTCACCAACAAGGACGGTGAGGAGAGGCGGGCCTCTCTTGTTTTGCAGGAGGGGCTCACGGCCTTCCTCACCCTTGATGGATCCTTCGGCCTCCCTGAGGCAATTGCTGACAGGGAGGCCGTGAAGGCAGGCAAGCACTCGATGGTGCATTGGTGGGGATGGCACGGGACTGACCACCCCCACCTGGCCAGCCTTGCGTGCCGTGCCCTGACACAGCCGGTGTCGGCCTCGCCTTGTGAGCGCGGGTGGGCATCGTGGGAGTCGGTGCACACTGCCCGCCGCAACAAGCTAGGCTCGGAGAAGCTCCGAGACCTAGTTTATGTGATCCACAACTGGCACGTGGTCCACAAGTACCACAAGCGGGGTGAGTCACTGGCGGTGCTTCCGGGCAACACCCCTGAACCCGCTCTGCCGAAGGGATACAACAAGGAGGAGGAAGGGGAGGAGAAGGAGGGGGAGGAGGATGATGCCGTGCTGACCGATGAGTACGTGGAGTAAGAAAGGCAACAGCAGCTCAGTAGGCGGTTGAGGAGGCGGCGAGCTTGAGGAGTAGAGGAGGAGGAGAAGCGTTTGAAGGTTTGGGGAGTAGGGGAGTTAGGGGATGTTTCAGTCAAGTAATTGCTATTATGTGTGTACTTGCAATGCATGTTTGTAATGGGGAACAAAAGTTTCATACGTGGGGAAAAACCAAAATGTGCAAGGTCACAATGAACATAGGCAACGTGACTCACCCCCTGATACTTTTTTTCCCCTGCCCGAGAACAATTTTTCCCCTGCCCGGGCGACCGTATTTCGAGCGTATCGTGTGGCGGAAATCCTGCGTCTCACGTACGTACGTGAGCGTATAGTTCGTACGCGACTGGTACGCCAGTCGCGTATTTTGCAACATAGGTTGGGCCCCCGGTCATGCTTGTCAGCTATGTATCTCATGAGCGTGACTTTTGTAATCTGATCTCAGTCCCTCACAAGCAAGCAGCAGGCCATACAACACAACACGACCTACCATGAGTGTTTCCCCCAGGAGGTTGGGCCCCCGATCCTTATGCTTGTCCGCCACATATCTCATGAGCGTGCGAGACTCTGGAAGGAGAACGGAAAGAATAGTTGAGCGGGAGAGTCCGAGCCTTGTGCTTCTGAAACATGGGAAGCAGGTATGGGAGGCACTGGCCCTAGGTCCTAGTGCTTGTCCGCTATGTATCTCATAACCGTGCGAGTCTCTGGGAGGGGCATGGCAGGTCTTTGTGCGTGTCAGGTATGGGAGGCACGACAGGTCCTGTGCCCTAGGCCCTTGTGCGTGAGTGTTTGAGACTCTGGAAGGGAAATGGGGACACACAAGGGGGGGGGAGAGAGTCTTGTCCTCATACTTTTTGGCTATGTATCTAATCTGGGGGTCCTGTCCTTGCTCACTTCTCCACTGTCCTCCCTTGTCCGGCGGCCCCCTCTGGCTCCCTGTCTGGTCTTTACCTCCCCTCGTTCTCTACGAACTTGGTGAGTGGTGCTGACCTACAGGATGCGGGGGTTCACCAGTTCACTCCTGCGAGTCAGCGGGTGACCCACTGCACGGACGCTCGGACAGGCCGACATCTGGCCACGTTTACACGTCGGCCGGGGCCGAGCCTGTACACACTTACCACTGCGTCTCCTCCCGTCCCTGCGTCTGGTCAGGTAGCTGCGTCGGGTCAGGTGTTAGCTGCAGCGTCGAGGCCTGGTCCTGAGTCTGCCCCCTGCTCGTGTCGCCTCCTGTCTCACAAGACTCTCCTCTAGCACCACCGCCTTGGTCACCCCTCCCTACTTCGTCTCCGAAGCATGGCCTCCCGTGTCCTTGTCTCTGGTCTTCCCCCGTCCCTCCCTCCCCTTCCTCCGGGGCCTGGCCCTACCTGCGTCCCCTGTGTCGAGGGGCGGCAGCGGGCTACCCCTAACTCCTCCCAGTTTCCCCCGACAGAGGCCCTGCTGCAGACGCTTCACATGGACGTGTGGGGCCCAGCCCGCGTCCGTGGACAGGGTCACGAGCGCTACTTCCTGCTGGTGGTTGACGACTACTCGCATTACACCACAGTCTTCCCCTTGCGCAGCAAGGGTGATGTCACTAAGGTGTTGATCGACTGAATCCGCGCAGCTCATCTCCAGCTTAGGCGGAGCTTCGGCTCGGACTTTCCTGTTCTGCGTCTGCACTCTGACCGAGGCGGAGAGTTCTCCTCTGACCTTCTGCGAGCCTACTGTTGTGCACGAGGCATCCGCCAGACCTTCACGCTTCTGGACTCTCCACAGCAAAATGGGATTGCTGAGCGCCGCATTGGCATGGTCATGGACGTCGCCCGTACGTCCATGATGCATGCGGCTGCCCCCCATTTTCTGTGGCCGTTTGCGGTTCGGTACGCGGCGCATCAGATCAACCTTCAGCCCAGGGTCTCCATGCCGGAGACCTCCCCAGCTTTGCTGTGGACGGGGAAGGTTGGCGATGCGTCTGCGTTCCGTGTCTGGGGATCTCGGGCGTTTGTCCGCGACTTGTCTGCGGACAAGCTGTCCCCTCGTGCTGCTCCTTGCGTCTTCCTGGGTTTCCCCACTGACGCCCCAGGGTGGCAATTCTACCACCCCACCTCTCGCCGTGTTCTGTCCTCCCAGGACGTCACGTTCGACGAGTCGGTCCCCTACTACCGCCTCTTCCCCTACCGCACTCCGTCCCTCCCCCCGCCACCGCTCTTCCTTGTACCAGGTCCCCCCCCCGGTAGACCCCCTCCCCCCTCAGGGTCCTGCCCCTTCAGGTGTGTCCCAGGTAGACGCTGTTGAGCCTGGGGGTGCTGACTCTGGGGGTGCTGAGCGTGTGGGTGCTACGCCTTGGGGTGCTGAGCCTGAGGGTACTACGACTGGGGGTGCTGAGCCTGGGGGTGCTGAGTCTAGGGGTGCTGAGCCTAGGGATGCTACGCCTGGGGGTGCTGAGCCTGGGGGTGCTGAGCCTGGGGGTGCTACGCCTGGAGGTGCTGAGCCTGGGGGTGCGGAGCATGAGGGAGCTGGGCCTGCTGGTGCTGTGCCTGGCGGTTCTCCGGGTGCTTCTTCTCGTCGGGAGCCACTCTCTCCACAGGAGCTGGGTGAGTGGTTTGCCCGGCGCTGGAGGCGAGCTGCTGGAGCTGGAGGTGCTGCGGGTACTGGAGGTTCTGTTGCTGCTGAGGGAGCTGGTGCCACGGGTCCCAGAGGTGCTCGTACTGGGAGTACTGGAGCTAATGGACCTGCGGGTACTTCTGGAGCTGGAGCTGCTGCGGGTGCAGGCACGGAGGCTACTGCTGTCGGTCCTGGAGGCCGTCCTGCTGGGGGTACTACTGGTGTTGCTGGGGGTACTCGAGCTGGAGCTGCTACTGGTGCTGGTGCTACCACTGGGGGTGCTGGTGCTGTCCTTGCTGTGTCTAGAGTCGCCGCGCGGCCTCGGCCGTACTTCGTTCCGCTACTTCAGCAGGTTCTTGGTCTCCCGTCTTCTACTGGTCCTCCTCCTCCCTTAGAGTGTCCACAGCCTGTCCCGTCGTAGTTACAGTTACAGCCGGCCTCCCCACTGCCTACTCCGTCTCCCTACACTGGTCCTACTGGAGGTCTTGCTGAGCGTCGTGAGCCTGCGTCTCGCCCTGCGTCGCCTGTCCGTACTACTCGCACTAGTGGTCGCGGTTCACGTCAGCGTCTTCCTCCTGTCCCTGGCACACACCGGATGTCTCTGCGTCCGTCCACTGCTCCTCTGCGTGCCCCTTTGCCTTCTCCTCCTGAGTCTTCTCTTCCTGCTCTTGCCGACACGGAGTTGGACTCTCTTCGTGCTGCCATTCCTACTGTCACGCGTCTCCTTGCTACTATTGTCACTGACCCTTCCTTTGAGTCCACTGCCGCGTCTGCCCTAGTTCCTGAGCTCGTTGACTTTGCTGCTCGCTGTCGCCTAGACTACGCCGCTAGTCTTGTTGCTGAGTCTGAGTCTGTCTGTCCTCCGTCCGTCGGGGGTGAGTGTGCCCTTGGCACGGACGTCCTTGAGGACAGGCAGGAGGAGTTCCAGTGCTTGGCCGCTGCTTCACCTCATCTCGTGTCCGTACTGCTTACCCCTGAGGGAGACCCGGATGCACTTGACATCCCGACTCCGCGCTCTTACGCGGAGGCGATAGAGGGTCCCTACTCCTCTCAGTGACAGGCAGCTATGGACGCAGACATGGCTTCCTGGAAGTCCACAAGCACCTGCGTTGACGCTGTTCCCCCTCCTGGGGCGAACATCGTCAGTGGCATGTGGATTTTCAGGGTGAAGCGGCCGCCGGGTTCTCCGCCTGTCTTCAAGGTGCCTTACGTGGCTCGTGGCTTCAGTCAGCGGCAGGGAGTTGACTACTTTCAGACCTTCTCTCCCACCCCAAAGATTACCACTCTTCGGGTACTGCTGCACATAGCTGCTCACCGTGACTACGAGCTACACTCTCTTGACTTCAGCACTGCTTTCTTGCAGGGCAGCCTCCACGAGGAGATCTGGCTGCGTCGCCCACCTGGTTTCACTGGGTCTTTTCCTTTTGGCACCCAGTGGAGCCTCCGGCGGCCAGTCTACGGTCTCCGCCAGGCACCGCATGAGTGGCACGACACACTGAGGACTACACTTGCGGCTCTTGGGTTTGCTCCCTCTACTGCTGACCCGTCGCTGTTTCCGCGCACCGACACTTCTTTGCCGCCGTTCTACATCCTCGTGTACGTCGACGACTTGGTCTTTGCCACAGCTGACACTGCTGGACTTGCCCACGTGAAGTCCGAGCTGCAGAAGAGACACACGTGCACTGACCTGGGTCAACTGCGTAGCTACCTTGGCTTGCAGATCACTCTGGACAGAGCACGCCGCACAATTACCCTGACTCAGTCACACATGGTGCAGCAGGTCCTTCAGCACTTCGGCTTCACGTACTCCTCGCCTCAGGCCACTCCTCTGCCTACTCGCCACTCGCTCTCAGCTCTGCCTTCGGATGAGTCCGTAGAGTCAAGTGGCCCGTACCCAGAGCTTGTTGGCTGCCTCATGTACCTGATGACCTGCACACGACCTGACCTTGCCTACCCTCTTAGCATTCTTGCACGCTATGTTGCTCCTGGGAGACACAGACCGGAGCACATGGCTGCAGCGAAGAGGGTGTTGCGCTACTTGTGCAGTATGTTGGGCATGGGGCTTGTGCTTGGAGGGCAGAGTCCAGTGGTCCTTACTGGGCACGCAGACGCTTCTTGGGCTGACGACCAGGCTACGCACCGGTCGTCACAGGGTTACACCTTCAGCCTTGGTTCCGGCTCTGTTTCGTGGCGGGCTACTCGCTCGTCTTCTGTTCTCGGCTCTAGTTGTGAGGCTGAGATCTACGCAGGAGCCATGGCTGCACAGGAGCTTCGCTGGCTCACTTACCTGCTGACTAACCTCGAAGAGCCGCCTCGTTCTCCTCCAGTGCTGTACGTAGACAACAAGGCCATGCTGGCCTTGTGTCGGGAGCAGCGACTGGAGCACAGAACGAAGCACATTG